CCTGCAACGAGATCTGCAATACCATCAAACATCCACATCTGCCTATCCCAGGTCCTTGGGAAGGACTTCATAGGTAGACAAAAAGGCCAAATCCAGTCTGAACATCTGGCTGACTGTGCGATGATCCATAATAATAATAATAATATTAATAATAATAATAGAATAGACGAGAAAGAACTGGAGAAGATAACAAAATACAGAGACCTACAAATAGAAATAGAAAGACTGTGGCAAAAGCAAGCAAGGGTAGCACCAATAGTCATAGGCGCCTTGGGTGCAATCCCAAAACAACTGAGGCACCACTTGAACACCATCAACGGCATTGACAAATTCGCCATTAGTCAATTGCAAAAGGCGGCCTTACTAGGAACTGCTTCCATCCTGCGACGAGATCTGTGATACCATCAAACATCCACATCTGCCTATCCCAGGTCCTTGGGAAGGACTCGATAGGTAGACAAAAATGCCAAATCCAGTCTGAACATCTGGCTGACTGTGCAATGATCCACAATAATAATAATAATAATAATAATAATAATAATAATAATAATAATAATAATAATAATAATAATAATAATAATAATAATCGCTGTACCAGGAGATGCCAGAGTGGAAGAAAAAGAACTGGAAAAAATTACAAAATATTGCAACCTGGCCATCGAAACTGCGCGATTGTGGATGAAACGTGTAACAGTAGTACCCATTGTCATCAGGGCACTGGGAACTATGTCCCAAAACTTTGGAAAATACATCAAGAAACTGCAGCTTCCTGCAATAACTCCAGCAACGGTACAAAAAACTGCGCTACTCGGAACATCTTACATTTTAAGGAGGTACCTGGTTGACACCTAGGATGCTGGTAGCAACCCGTGTCAACCATCGATGCCAGCCAATTTGAATGTTCAATTGACTGAGGTTCATGCTTAATGAATAAAAGATAATAATAATAATAATAATAATAATAATAATAATAATAATAATAACAACAACAACAACAACAACAATAATAATCTGTGTTAAGTATTTTGGGGACAAGCTATTTTCCAAGAAGCAAAGGCATTTGGGGTGGGTGGTGGGGAGAAAAATTCTAAAAGATCCTTTCACAACAGAATCGTCTTTAAAACCAAACCAGTCCAATTAAGGATTACCAAAACGAGGCGGAAAACTCGGAATTTTGCCTCTACCCCTTGAATTGTCTGCTGAACCTTCAACTTCCTAGCTATGGAAAACTCCTCAATCCCTTTAATTTCCGCTTCTCCCGGGAAGTCAATATTTTTGAAATCAATATTGCAGTGTTCAACTCTAATTCCTTCCCTCGGGTAAATTCTTCCAATTAATACGACTTTTGAGCATCGTGAATTCGTGAAAAGGAGGCTCCCCTTTGCCTCCCCAACATCATGGTACAGGGGATGTGAGCTTGTTCTCTTTCCTATTCTCCTTCTCAAACTGTCCCTTCCTAATTGCCCGGCCGCTCTCCGGATGTACATTAACTTGAAGAACCGCTTGCCCTTTGCTTCGATGCAAATAGGCACGTAGGAAAGTTGTATTAAGTTTGCACAATCTGTACCTTTTAAAATCTCCTGTAGAGTCAGCCTAAAATACTCCCAGCGAGGGCCGTCATCCACGGGAGCCGGGTCACTTTGGGAGAACCCGTTCTCGGTGATGTAAATTACGGGGTGATTGTACGTATCCTGGAAGAAGGGAGCAGGCGTTTCGTTCAGAGCAGATGTCAAGAAAAGCCCATAAAAACCAGGTGCCTCACCCTCCATCTACTTTAAGCTACCACTGCAAAGTACTTTTCATCAAATTGCACTGACCCTATTAACTTAAATTTTCCACAAGCTGACCTTTTATGATTAACAGCGGAAAAGCAAAAGTGTGCAAACAGCCATGAAGGAGGAGAAATTACTTACTTTAATGAGAATACTGAAATATCTTTCTTTCTTTTTTCTGCATTAGCATCTGCCTCGCTGGCATCGCGTTTTAACCACCCCCCTCCATCCTCGCAAGGCGCAACAAACACCCCACGGCCCCTCGGACAGACCCACGGCCTTCCTGTGCTGTGGGACTTCCTGGAGATTTGAGCAAAAAAGGCTGGGCTTATGGGTAAGCGGTTCAGAGCTGGGATGGGGATCCTAGGATCGCGTAAAGACACACACACGGGACGCTCACGGGACTTTTCATGCGTGACTGAAAACATGTCAGGGAGGAATGGCGTCTTCTTGACTATCTAAGTTCCCCTGGTCAACAGCTAAGAGTGAGGGAGGCTGACCACAAGATGAATTTGGACCCAGAACTAGATATTTGTCTTATGGTTTATATATATTAATAGAGGGGGTCAAGCTATTCTCCAAAGCCCCAGAAGGAGGCAGGACAAGAAGCAACGGATGGAAACTAATCAAGGAGAGAAGCAACCTGGAACTAAGGAGAAACTTCCTGATAGTGAGGACAATTAACCAGTGGAACTCCTTGCCTCCAGAAGTTGTGGGTCCTTCATCCCTGGAGGTTTTTAAGAAGAGACTGGACAGCCACTTGTCTGAAATGGTATAAGGTCTCCTGCTTGAG